CATAACTGTTCCTCAAATCCTTTAAAAATACTTTTTTTTTTTTACCAAGGTTGGGGACATGGCTTAGGAGTAGAGCACTCACCTAGGACGTGTGAGACCTGTGTTCTGTCCCCAGCATGGGAAGGAAAAAGAACTTATTAAATGAATCAGTGGGGGGGGGGGGTTGGCAGCCACAAAACTCATGTATGATGAATTATGAGTAATAACGTATCGTACAAAATCTACACAGCAGAATCAAATCAAGTATTTAATCAACTCTTCTTGAGTTGATTCTAGAGAATAGATTGATAATAGAACCAACTGTCAAATTGATAAATAAAATAAAATGTGGGATATATGCACAGTAGGATATTATGCAGCCACACAGAGAAAGCCTGTCATTTGCAGCAACACAGATGGGCCTGGGCGGCATTACGTTAAGTAAAAAGTCAGGGACTGAAGGGCAGATATTACATGTTTTCACTTACATGAAAAATCTATGGAGCTGATCTCAAGAAGCAGGGAAGAGAAAGTGCTTACCAGTGTCTTTGAAGAGTTGAGGTGTGGGGGGCACAGGGGTAGGAGAGATAAAGGTGCAGCTGGCAGGAGGGAATAGCTTACCAGTGGTCTGGAACACACGAGGATAATATGGCTTACCACAACTGGTTGAATATCTTGAAGTAGCTAGTAAAGAGAATTTCCAATGTTCCCAACACAAAGCAAATGCATTTGTTTGAGGATGTAGATATGCCAATTGTATTTATATAATTATTACACACGATACACAGATGTGGAGATATTGCATACAACTATCATATCCAACTGAAAATAGAAATATTTAAAAATCTGTGCATAATTTTATATGGGAATGATTGTAAAAAAAACAAGTATTATAAATAAAACTGTTAATTTAATTCGGTAATAATCAAGTTCCAAACTTTGAAAATGAGTAGAGGACAGACAGTCTGGGCAAGATTGTGTGGACCTGCTCCTTCCTAGCACTCCCAGCTAGGGACAGCTAAAACTCAGACAGAATGAAGACACAGTTGAAGGATTTGGGATGATGGAAAGGACTAGTTAGGGATCTCAGAACTGGAGAAGGGGTAGAGAATGGCTTCTCCTGACCTCCCGTCCAATGGGAGAAGTGTATTCCCAACCTCGTAGCTACCAACCAAGGAGCTGGGTACATCCTGTCTCCCCTGAATCAAGTGGGAGTCAAGCACCAGGCATGTTTGATAGCAGAACAAAATAATCAAAGGACTCTTGTCGATCACAATAAATGTCCAGGAGAGTTGGTCTTCCCCAATGAGATTATGATTCTCCTCCCCTCCAGGAGACACCAAGTGTCCAGGGGACACCAGCAAGAAGAATTCTGTCAAGACAGGCGGCTCAGTCCAGAAAGCGTTTTTTACTCACATACGCCTAAGATTTTCCCACCTACGGACACTGTCTCCGCGTTCAAGAATCCAGAACAAGACACACGATATTTAAAGTTCTTGAAGGTAACTACAGAAAAATATTTTTAAATAAGTCAGAGAAAAATGTGGAAGTTAACTAAGGGAGAAAACGAGCCGAATGACAACATAGTTCTCATCATGGAGGCCAGAGGAAATGGGCTAACATCTTCTTAAAGTTCTAAAAGGAAAGATTGCCAACCACAAATATTACATCCAGCAAAACCGTCCTCCAGAAATAAAGCGGAAAATCAAGATTCCCCAAGTAAAGCAAAGTAGAAGCTCATCATGAGAAGAATATCTCTTAAGAATGCAAGGGAGGTTTGTCAAACAGAAGAAATGGTAAAAGACAGAAACCCAAGGCTCCCTGGAAGATGAAAGAAAAAAAAAAAACTAAGGGTTATAAGCAATGGAATTTGCCTCTTGGTGAGTTTTTATTTTTAAAATTTATTTAATAAAATTCAAGCCCTCCAAGACTAGTGTTGAAAATTGGTAAAGATAAAGGGAATTAAATGGAAGGCAGGTTTTCACAGTTCACTGGAAATGGTTACATACTGAAACCAGGATATGTTAATAACTGAAATATGTAATTGGAATAGCAAAGGAAGCTGTGTCTAACGTAGCAAAACACTAAACATGTTAATAAAATCTAGAAGGTAATCATAAGCAATTTGCAAACAAGTGAAAAGGGAAAGATAAAAACCAAAGAAGAAACTTAGCAATTAATTTAGGCCTCTCGTGAAACAGAAGACAACAGACTCCCATAATGATGAAGGCACAGCAGCTGGGATTCATACCTAGATTATTGTGAGGTGGAAGGATCCCCCTGTTGCCTGCCTCGGGGAACAGGAATGCTAATCTCTGCAGCCTTCCCTGAAAAACAAAAGAAGCAAAGCTTCTATTTATCTGTTTGCTTGCATATTTGGGTTGTTTTCTCCCCAGTGCTGAGGGTGGAGCCCATGGTCTCTCAGATGCTAGGCAAAGGTTCTTCTACTATTGCAAACTGTCTTAAGCTAATTCCCCCTTGTGCCCAGACTGATTAGTATAAAGTCACTGTTACAGAAGCCTGTCAACACAGGCTTTGTGAGATCCTCTAAAGTCTCACTGAGGATAAATTCACAAAACAAAATTCTACAGCACCAGATGAAGCTATAACTACCATATGAGAAAAGGCTACAGTAAACTATGGGCTATATTGCCTGTTGCTGTGGTTTGTGTATTTTGATTTTTCATCCATGGTTCTTGGCTCATAAATCCCGTACCTCTTGATATTTCCTGAATGACTAGAACAATAACAATAATTATGACAGAACAGTATTTTGGCCTTTTGCTTCTTAGATTACCTTTAGAACGAATAACTTCAGCATGATCTTCTGCTGTTGTTGTTATTTGGTTTTTTGGCTTTTGTTTTTGGTTTTTGGTTTTTTTATTTTGTTTTTCCAGGACAAGCTTTCTCTGTTTAACTCTGGCTGTCCTGGAACTCGCTCTGTAGGTCAGGCTGGTCTTGAATTTAGCAACCTGCCTGCCTCTGCCTCCCGAGTGCTGGGATTAAAGGCATACACCACCACCACCTGACTCAAAGTGATCATTCTTAACTAAATTTATAATAATAATTAGTAGTAGTGTTTGTGTGCATGTGCAAGCACACTCATGCACCAGACAGTGCATGTGTGCAGGAGTTGGTTCTCTCCTTACATGGGGGGATCAAACTCAGGTCATAAGTCTCGGTACCAGGCACCTTTACCACAGAACCTCTCAGAGCCCCACATTTAGTAGCTGTTTTTTTAACTGTCCAAGAGCTTCTTAAAACGGACCATTTTCCCATCCCACTTGCAGTGTGTAAGTGATCTAGTTTCTCCAAAGCGGCAGCAATTGAGATTCCACTACGCTATTGTTAGCTACTCTGATGGTGCTGTCATAGCATCTCATTATGATTTGTTGGAACATCCCCAGTGGCTAACGACATTGACAACATGCCTGCAGGTCCACCTATCGATCCTCGTCAGTGAGATGTCTTCTAACTGGGCTTCTTGTGTTGAGTTTTCAGCGCTCTTTGTGCTGTGTGCTCCAGCTCCGTTGAATGTGCTGCTGTAGCCACATTTATATACAGTTTGTCTATCTGTCTCCCTAACAGCCTCTTGCAGAAGTCTTCAGTTTTAATGAAGCCCCATTTATCAGTGTTTCTTTTTATGGATTGTGTGCTGTAACACATTGTCTAAGAACTCTGCCTAAATCGCAACTCTAAAGGTCCCCGATATTTTGTTCTAAAAGTTTCATAGCTTTATATCTTGCATATATGTTCGTGATTGATTTGAGGTTAACTTTTGTGTGAAATGTGAGACAAAGTGAGGTTTTGCTTTGCTGTTCTACTGTCTAGATGCTCCAGTGCAGGTTTTTGGGAAGGCTCTCATGCCCTGAATTACTCTTAAACTTTTGCCAGAAATCACTGGGATTTGTTTTTGCAGGTCTAGTTCTCAGTTTTCTATTCAGCCCCATCGACCTATGTGTGTATTCTCTGCCAATATAACTAAGATGCAATCTTTGTTTGTTTGTTTGTTTTGTTTTTTGAGACAGGGTTTCTCTGTGTAGCCCTGACTGTCCTGGAACTCGCTCTGTAGACCAGGCCGGCTTTGAACTCACAGATCCACCTGCCTCTGCCTCCTGAGTGCTGTGTCACCACTGTCCAGTCTAAGACAGAATCTTAACACCCCTGCTATATGATAAATTTCAACATTGGATAGATTGATTTTTTTTCCAAAATTATCTTAACTAGTCGAATTCTCTTGCCTTTCCATGTACATTTTGGGAATATTCTTATCTATGTCCACATTGCAGGGCTGGTAAGGTGCCTGAGAGGTTGACATACTTGACACACAAGTATACAGACAGAAGTCTGGATTCCTATGGCCCATGGAAATACCAAATGGGCATGGTGGCTCAGCCTTAGAGACCAGAGGCAGGGGATCCCCAGAGCAAACCCGCTAGTAACAGCAGGCACTTTGGCAAGTTCTAGGTTCCCTGTCTCATTGAATAAGGTGGAGGATCCATCAAGGATGATTCTGACTCCAACCTCTGGCCTCCACATGTACATGGACCCATATACATGTCTACTCTCCACATACATGCAAGCACAGCTACACATGAAGCGGGCAGGCATGCTTCAGTGCGTCAAGATTCCACCACTTGCTAGTGTCCTCAGCTGTGCCATACGTTGACCTCATCTGCTAAAAGAGTGTGTGTGTGCATGTGCATGTGTATGTGCGCATGTGTGTGTGTGCATGCATGTGTGGGAGACCTAGTTGGGAGTTAGTGAGATTTTAACTGAAGACACAGGAGGAACCTTTGTGGGGAGCACAGCAGAGCAGAGCCTGAGGTGGGAGGAGCCCTGGGAGGAGCTGTGAACACACAGGACCTTTAGAGAGGGGGAACAAAAGCAATTGGAGATTAAAGACTCCTCAGAAGTAGGGAATATTTTAATCTCTACTCTGCCTGTAACTAGCTGTATTTTTCAGCCAAAAGATTAATTTCTGCCATACACGCCTTACCAACTACACCTTGGCTTCTTTTCCCCTCTGTACTGCAGCTATGTTGGTTTTCTTGGTTCACTGAAGGTCCTGAAGAAAGCTCACGTGCTGGGCCATCTCCACTGAGTCTGTGGATTCCAGGGAAGGTTCTTTGAAGCCTTGACCAGGAGAGATACCTGCCATGAGAGTTCCAATTCATGGCACTTACCACAGTGTACATTCTTAATATACTCAAGGGGGCACTGATCTGTTTGTCTCTCTCCCCTGATTGGCTATGAGCTTCATGAGCACCAAGACCATGTCTGCCTTGGCCACTGCTGTATTCCTGGGGCTAGCCTGGGCTAGCAGAAAGTGTTAAGCTAACATAGGATGAACACCAAAGCAAACATTGACTGCCAAAGCTTGGGTGGTTCTTCTGACAGTTTCTGCAGTTTCAAAAGGGAAGCAGAAATATGTTTGCCCTCGCATTTATAGATTAGGATAGCTCATTTTAAATTGGAGACCAAAAAATTTCTACAAACATTTTATTATGTAAAGAAAAATGTTAGTTAAATAATTCTCTACCATGAGGCTCCCTGGTGGCCCCATTAAAATCAGACATGTCCTAGAACTCAGGAATCAGTCATACACTGAGGTCCCCGAGATGCTGGGAACGAGGCTGGGTGGCACAGCTAGGATTTGCCCTCATATCACCCAGTTAATTACCGAATGCCTTGTTTGACGCTACTTTGAAGTTTAATTTGTTCTCATCTGAAGCCTGATGAATTCCGTTCCAGCTGGAGGTACAGTTTCTGTCTTAGTTAATCACCTCTAAATCAATCAAAAGACAGCAAACCTCCCAGGCCTTAGTTTCCCCATCTATTAAGCGAGAAGAATGATGACCATTCTACTGTAGCTCACTGGTTTTAAAGACCATGTGAGGCAAGCCAGGGGAATGCAGCCAATAAACTCTGCAAATGCAGGGCCCAGGCAGGGAGTTCTCGCAGGGAAGTGGTCTGCAGGTTTCTCCTCCCATTGTCTGTGTCTGCAAATGAGAGGACTCCCCCAAGGCAATAGGGGTTTCGCCTTTAAGAAGCATTCTGATAGTCTAAGCTTTGATCCCCAGTAAGACCAGGAAGACAAGAGATGGAATTGCCAGAACTTTCAGCCTCTTCAGACCTGGCTTGTGAAGGCCCCGGGGCAATGGCTGAATACTCAGAACTGAGCCCCCAAGCACCAAGTGTTCCTGCTCCACCACCTGAAGTTAAGAACATCAAAGGTGGGGGAATGACTTCAAGAGGCAGACATGAACCAGTGTGCAGGTTTTTAGTCAGTCCCCACCCCCACCCTGGCCAAGGGGAAGCAGGCATGGAGCAGATTCACCTCTCAGTACAGCAGAGGGCAGTGGTGCCCTCATCTCGGCCCACACCTGGGCCAGTGTGGAGGGTAGGTTCTCCTGGGTGTGTATTCAGAGCTCAGGAGCCAGGAGTTAAGTCCTTCAGCCTGTCCTCCATCTCTACAACTCTTGTGACCTCTTCACCCTAACTTAATATTTATGAACACATACAGGCGTAGAGACACAGAGGCACAAACCACCATATATTATTAATCGAGTCCCTATATGCTCTCATATACACATGCAGCATACAGCAAGGGTCTTCCAACTGATTCCCTATGAATTACTTATGCCATGTAGCATCTATATTGACCTCTTCCCCCTTCTCCAAAATAAGACTATTACCTAAAGTTAGGGAGAAATGAGTCTACTCCACCAGGCGCTTGAGAGTCAGTATGATTTAATGATGGGAGAATCCTGTTCTGGACCCAGCTATGACACAGGCTGATGACACTGGAGACCTGTCACTTATCTCCGTGTGCTCCAGTTGCCTCTAACCCAAAAATAAGGACTTTGGTTTCAAATTCTGGTCATGCTTTAGCCTCTGTGGTCATCCAGTGACAGGCAGGGAGGTGTCCTGTCCCACTTCTAGTCCAGTGAGACAGAGGTGCTGCCGGGCAGGAATTCGGCTGAGCTGGGAGTTACTCACCTCCCTTCAGACGGTACTTAAAAGGGTCACAGCACCTCTGTGGTGCGGGGCATAGTTTTAAGGTATGTGGGTTTATCTTACTAAATTAGAATGAGGAAACAGGTCAACACTGAAGTCAGACGATGACTTTAAAGGAAACTCGACTCATTCTGTCTTTTACCTCTGGTAGGTAGGATCCCTAAGGAGCTAGGATGTCCAGGGGAATTTGCAGCTGGGATATTAAACCTGCAGTTTGGCTCCAGGAAATAGGTTTAAGAGGGTTGGGCCAGGGAAGCAGCCAAATTATGAGGTTGATGACATTTCTGTTCTGTGTTTCTCCTCCCATTGAGGGCACCTCCGCGACCCATTTTTAGGGCAGCTATCCAATGGCTTCGTGGCAGACACAAGTCCCTCCTGACTGCTCCCAGGCTCTTCACCCCACCCCCACAAAACTGCCCTGGTTTAGTCCAAATCTCCACTTGATTGCAATGTAGGGAAATGCCTTTGGGTCCCTAAGAGACACTTCGTTTCAACAAATTAGGTGTTACTATCTCTACAGGCCAGTCATGTGCTCAGGGACACTAGGTCATGCCCTGCCCTTCAGTAGTATATTCCTTCCTGTGATTGTTTCCTGACTGTTCTTCAGGTCAAGGCAGTGAACTTGACCACTTTAGGTAGACTTGAGATCCAAGTTGGATTTAGGCCTGCCCTTCAAAAGTCCCGCACTGGTCCCGAGGAAGCAAGCCTTGTGCCAAAACCACTGCGGCTTCACCTCTTCACGTATTGACTTGAGCATCTGCACCCAAGAGCTCGGCACATCTTGTCCACTTCCCATCTCAGGGTCCAAATGCCCTACTTATTGACAATGCGTTTGGAAGTCTGTTTTCTTCCTTCTCCCAGAGAACTGAATAAAATGACCATTCCCTCAATGAAAGCCTTTCCAAGAGAATTAGCCAATTTGTTTACTTATTAAAATTAATAACATGGTAAGAGAAGATACTTGGACTCTGCAGGAGATAATCAGAAAATTAATTCTTCACAGATTTTTTTTAATGTCCGAAGTGCAGTGTCCTGGTGGGACAGAACAGCAACATGCTCCTATATTTTACAACTGAAGTTCCCCTCTGCCATGCCAAAGACTCACATGATTGTACTCCATATCCTATTGTTGCTAGAGGTTTCAGATTTTACCTTCTTAGTTAGTTAACACTAGACAAGGCCTTGCTTCATAGCCCAGGCTGGCCTTGAAGTCACCATCCTCCTGCTTCTCAAGTGAGGCATCCACAGGTAGGCACAGCAATGACTACGTTGAGATGGTACTACCCTACCCAACAGAGCCATTAACCTGGCAATTACCATGGTGACCATTCTAAGTGAGCTTGAGCATGGCTGAGGGAGTGGGCAGCCATTCCCAGTGGCTCTGATCCATACATGTTAGGTGGGAAGAACGGGGTGCCAAGCCTGTCACCAGAGCATTATACATCAATATGAGCTGATATCCTTAGAATAGGTTCTGGTTCCAGCCCTGCTGCCTGAGAGCCAGAGCCAATGACCTTCCTTCCCCAGATCTCAATTGCTTCAGCTGCCAAGGTTAACTTTGGCTTGGAAGCCAGCTGAACCACAATGAAGGAAGGTAAGACCGCAAAGCAAGTTCCTCTCAAATCAATGAATTCTACATAAGAACTGCCGTAGCTTTACTTCAGGTCTGTTCTATACATAAAACATAAAAACTTCATTTAAAGCATTATTTTTATTTTGTATGTATGTGAGTTTTACTTGCATATATGTGTATGCCCCACATATGTGACTGCTGCCCTCAAAGTCCAGAAGAGGGTGTCAGATCCCCTGGAATTCAAGTCACAGATGGCCGTGAGGCCTGTGGTTGCTGGAAACTGAGCCTAGATCCTTGTGAGCAGAGCAAATGCTCTCACCTCTGAGCTATCCCTCCAGCCCCATCAGTTAAAACAAATTACAGAATGGTACAGATAAATGGTGGCTGAGTTGAATTCTTTTTCAGTGTCTTAACTTAGCAAAGTAAAAAGTTAACAAAAAATGAAACAGCAACTCTTTGCCAGTCCTAAAGTGGTCTGATCTGAAACAGCGAAGTGATGGGGACCCTCTAGGTGGAATGGTGTCTGGGGTCCTAATGGCCAGGATGCTCCATTTCACGTCACATCTGCACGTGCACGCCATCACTGCCTTTACTAAGGAAAGAGTAGTTGGTTGTCAGGGTTTCTACTATGCCTAGAGTCACATGACAGCCTCTACTGCTGAAGACACTAGGTGTGGTAGCACAGATCTGTAATCACAGTAATCAGGATGCAGAGACAGAAGGACCAGGAATTCAAAGCAATCCTCGGGTACTTAGTGAGCTTGAGGCCAGCCTGGGCTACAGTGACCCTGTTTCAAAAAAAAAAAAATGCTGAGAAATGGATAGAGAAATGTGGTTTGTTTACACAATGAGATTGTTCTCGGCCATAAAGAAGAGTTAACTCATGCATTTGCAGGAAAATGGGTGCACTAGAAAGTGTCTTATGAAGTGAATTAAATGAGTCTCAGAAAGAAAAATATCTGATGTTTTCTCCCCTTTGTGATTCCTAGATTTTATATAAATACATAAAACCACGTGTGCATCTATAACATGAAAGTAGGAACAAACTGTTTAAGGGGACAAAGGGCTATCAGGAGTGGGAGGGAGAAGGGGGTAGGCCAGGGAACATGCTCAATATATATACAATATATACTTGCAGGAAAACTTCAAAATAAGTAATTTTTTAAAAAATTCCAACAGATGAATCTCTGAGTTCCAAACCAGCCTGGTCTACAGAGTGAGTTCCAGGACTGCCAGGGGTACAGAGAAACCCTGTCTTGAAGATAAAGTCCAACTTTCTAGAACCTTCTACCCAAATAAATGCAATCAGTCTCTGGAAGCCCAGCCATGCCACAGGGACATTGCAACCATGAGCTTTACAGGCCTGACCCTCTGGGAGAATTACTTGGGACAACTTGAATAAAAATTCAGATTCCTCAGCTATACTCCATCAGAAACCTTAGAGCCAAGGAATCCATATGTTCAAGTTTTCCAAATAAGACTACTGTTGTGATTCAGTCTGGAATTTATAAATCGGATAAATTATTTTATTTGTAGTAGTAATATGAGAGAGAGTCTGTGTGTGTGTTTGTGTGTGTGTGTGTAAACAGAGGACAACTTTCAGGAGTTCTCCCCTCTTATCATGGGTTCCAGGCATTGAACTCAGGTCATGTGACAAGTTCTTTTTACCAACTCAGCTTTCTCACTGGTCCTAGTACTTAGAAATCAGAGAGCTGTTATACACTGAATATGCGCAAACCTCATAAAGGTTTACTATTCGGTGCATCTGGCTGGGACTGGGGTGAGCATCAAGGAATCATTCATCTTCTCATGGCACCCTTCATTGAACTGTCTTGCCTAAGAACTCATGACTTCATGGAATCCCTATTAACCCAGCATCTCTGAATCATGAAACTGGGGTGGATGCGTAAGTGATGCAGACAGAGGCAGGAAACTATCAGAAACACGGCCCTTTACCAGACCAGGATCTGGATGTGTCCCATACTTGGGCAGCTTTTCAGGATCGTTGGCTGTGTCCTTCTCACGCTCCCAGATGGACCCCAGGATCCACACTCAACACAGCTAGGCCACAGGCCATCAGGGATAGATAAAACCTTCTGAGACAGAATTCACATGAGAACATTACTCTGCGCCCAGAAATGAAATCAACAAAGCTGCCGATGTCCACATGCCATTCTCGCGAACCATTCTTTCGTCAGCCTAAACCTCCCTTTGAGAGGCTGAGAGCTCTGCAGTTTTCTTAAGCAAAATCTAAAGGACCTGGAAATCTTCACAAAAATATGTTAAGCATCCAGAGGCTTTTGCGTGACTGAAACAGAGTGTGTGATATGCTAGATCACAGGCTGGTGATCATTGAAGGCCAGAACATAGTCTGTGCTTGTGCTTCCATATCCCCAGAATCCTCGCAAGAGCAGCTAGGAATGAATAGATATCCAGGAGGAACTTACTCTGCCCAAAAGCCCTCTGCCTGAAGCATCAGCCTTCACAGAGCTGCCCTTAGCTCAGCTTCCCAGCCCAGATTTAAGACCTGATCTAAAGAACAGGGTCTAATAGGCTGAAGGACACTGAGGTACCTACCGAGGGATGCTCCTACAACCTAGGCATTCATTCACCCAAGAGGCAACATTCATGGAAAACCCCCTCCAGTCTACAAAAGACACTCTCCTAATCACTTTGAGTGCACTGATTTGTCTACCCCTTACCGTTCACATGTATTTGAGGAGGGCGCCATTTGTAGTTACACTTCATAAAGAAAATGAAAGACATTCAAGTCACCCCCACAAAAAGTACTTGCTGGGATCAGTATTCAGAAAGACCAAACTGGTCCCCAGGATCATGTGCCAGGCACTATGCTAGGCATTTGAGAATACAATGATGAGCGACACCACAGAATCCCAGGAGAGCGAAGTCTGAGAGCAGAGAGGCAGGGAGAGAGAGAGGCATAGAGGCAGGTCCCCCACCAATCTGGTGACCTTAAGGAAGGCTTTTCCATTCTCTAGCCCCAGTGCATGCTGGAAAATGTAAAATATTCTCTGAAATGTGCTTAGCTCAAAGAGAATCAAAAATACGTAGTATTGGGGAAGGACCCGCAACTGAATGGGTTAAGGGTTTCTGCATACGTAATGGAAGAAATAGTTTTAAAAAGGGGTGCAGATTCCTACATAAAGACAGAAGGAGTTGCCTTACAATTGGAACGACACAAGACACCCTTCCCTACATGAAGAGCTTCTGCATGGTCCGTGAGAGATGAGAGGGTGCCATGGGGAAAACAGTGCCGCTTCCCACGCCCCCCCCCCCCATGCTCCCTTGTCAGTTTCCCTCTAAATGATGCATCTGCGTATTACAAAAAGAATTGGAGACACAGGGGATCTGAGTCACAGACTTTGCTGTTCATTTGAGTGTGTGTGTGTTGCCAACAGCCAACAGCATCAAGTATCCGTCCCCATCTGAAAGCAGCCGTGCCAAGGCATCAGCAGAGTGCATTTGCTAACTACATGAACATCTGGACAGAGCCCTTCCCGGGGACTCAGAGCCAGAACTCAAAGTGACAGTGTAACTAGCTTAAGCAGATGAAAGGACAAAAATGGTCAGAAAGCATGATCCCAGCCAGGCCTGCTGTTCTGCGGGGCGGGCTGGTACCAGGACAGCCTTGGAGACAGGCTCCTTGTTCGCAGCGATTGCCTAGGCTAACAAACAAAATGTGTCATCCTCTCTGTTCTGTCCCAAGGTTGCAAATGAGCTTCCTGTTCAGTCATCATCCCAGCCCAAACATCTGACTCTGGGTCACTTCTTGGGTAAAACATAAGCAGCACCCTCTGTGCTTTGTTGCACTTCCGTAGATTAACTTGGATCTGTTCCCATGGCAGCAGTCAATCTGGGACCGGATGCTTTGGCTGAGCATACATTACAGTTCCTGGCACCTCACCACGCTGAACCTCTTTCTTATCCTCTCCCTCTCCCCAGCTAGCCCCAGCCCCCAGCTGTCATGAATTTATTTTCAATGACTATACTGAAAATAGTCTGGAAGCCCCTCAAAAATGTAAGCTCAGTGTTACTTACAGTCTAACAATTACATTCCCACATGCATACATTTAAAAAAATCTGAGGGCCAGCAAGATGGCTCAGTGGGTCACCAAGCCTGACAACCTGAGTTTGATCCCCAGGACCTGCATGATAGAAGGAAAGAACTGACTCCTGAAAATTGTCCTCTGACTTCCACATGTGCACCATGGGAGGCATGCACTTGCACACACACACACACACACACACACACACACACAAATAAAAAAAATAATTTTAAAAAGCAGAGTTAGAAGCCTATGCCCACACAAAAACTTGATCCAAATTCTCCCAACAGCCCCAGTCTATTACCATAACCACAAGGGGGAAACACCCCCAATGTTCATTGGCAGTAAATGAAAAGTAAAATGTGGTCAAGCCACACAGTGAAATATTATTCAGACAATCAAAAAGAATGAAATAATAATATATGCTACAACATGGGCAAACCTAGGAAACATTAGATGCCATCCCAAGAACCAGGTATAGTATTTCATTTACATAAAATGTCCAGAAAGGGCAAATACCTAGAGATGAAGCTTACTGTTGTTTACAGAGGGTGAGGCTGAGGGAATAAGAATGCAACTGCTTACTGGGAGAGAACTTTAGTTTGGTTTGATTTTTGGTGGTAGTGGTGATGGTGATGGTGGTGGTGCTGGTGGTAGTCATGGGGATGGTGATGTGGTGGTTTATCTTTTTGAAGCAGAAATGCTATGTAGCTCAAACTAATCTAGACCTTGCAATTCAGGGTGACTTCAGATTCTGGATCTTCTCACCTCAGCCTCCTGCATGCTGAGATGAACACAGTCCTTCATGCTGAGATGACAGGCATGTGTTGCTGCACACCATCCTGCATGCTGTGACAGGCATGTACTTCTACACACAGTCCTGCAGGATAAGGCTACAGGCATGTGCTACTACATATAGTCCTGCATGCTGAGGTAACAAGCATGCATTTCTGCACACAGTCCTGCATGCTGAGGTGACAGGCATGCAATTCTGCACACAGTCAGTGCTTCTTCTGAAAGAAACACAAATGTTCCAAAATCAGTTTTGACAGTCAGAGCACAACTATCTGAATGAACTGAAAAGCAGTGGATCATACACTCCAAATGGGTGAACTATGGAGACTTGATCTCTATTGAGATAGAGCTACTTTAAATGCACATTTCACATGTACCATACAGTATAGGATATTCTTACGGTGCACTCAAATGGATGGTGCCCTTTAGAGAACATTTGTAGAGAAATGGAAGCAAGGCTTGGGCTACCTCTGGTGTTGTATTCTTCTTCTTCTCCTCTTCCTCCTCCTCCTCATCCTTCTTTTTTTAACAAGAGAGACATTCTCTTCAAAGTGGAAGCAATTGTCCAATGCCTTTCACTTCAAGCTCCAGTCTCAAGCAGATGTAAATCAGATAGCTTTACAGCTACAGAGTCGAAGAAAGAACATCAATTTAGCAAAACCAGAAATGAGAGCAACTGGATACAGTGAAGTACTTTCAAATTTTTTGACCTAACATGATAAAAATATCAGAATTTAGTTGAGCTACAGAAATTTTACCCTGAAGAACACTGGAAAATGGGAGGAAATCTCTCCTCCATTGTTACATGTCTACCTGACAAGAGGCAGAATGAGTGTTCTGAGACCTCGAGGATCTTCTCCCTAGCTACACTTCCCTGAGGCAGGGACAAAATGCCCAACTTGTTTCCCACGGATGCTGAGATGAACAAAACCAGGACACAGAAGAGCTAGGAGCTGGCCTTGCTATGTGGAATGAGTCTCAGGAAACAGAGTCTATTTGGTGCCATTAGTGCTACAGAACCTTGGCTGGGTGGCCCTGAGATGACTGCTTGACTTCAGTAGAGACCAACTTCTCAGTAGGAAAATATAGCCAGTCTCTGTATCTATGGGCCCCTTATCCAAAGACTCAACTAAGCCATCCAAAACACTAGGGAAATCTTAGGCTGCTATTAAGCATGTGAAGACTTTTATTCTTGTCATCATTGCCCAAATAATACAACACAACAACTGTGCAGTGTCAAGTATTACAGATAATTGAAAGGCGATTTGAGCTGTAGGTGAAATAATTAAAAGATAGATATCCTTTAACAAGGACTCCCCAAAACAATTAGAAATAGGTCTGAGGAAATGGCTCAGCCCGTAAAGCCCTTGTCTTTCAACCTGAGGTCAGATTTCTAGCGCCCACATAAAAAGTTAGGGTGTTGGTGCGCGCCGGTAGCCCCAGCAATAATGAAGAGGGAAGCAGAGCAGGAAGAACACTGGCACTCACTAGCTAGCCAGTATAGCCCACTTGTCAAAACTCCAGGTCAGTGAGAGACCCTCTCTCAGTGAGGAAAGGCAACTCAAATTGTCTTCTGAACTCTACAAGTAGAAGGCACACGTGTACGTGTGGTAGTTTGAAAAGGAATGGCCACCATAGGCTCATATATTTAAATTCTTGGTCATTAGGGAGTGGTACTACTTGAGAGGGATTAGGAGGTGTGGCCTTGCTGGAGGAAGTAACTGGACGTGTGCTTTGATTTTCAAAGGCCTAAGCCAGAGTCAGTGACTCTCTTCCTGCTACCTTCAAATCAGGACACAGAACTCACAGCTACCATTTCTGCCTGCATGTTGGCCATGTTCCCTGGCATGAGGATAATGGACTAAACCTCTGAAGCTATAAGCAAGCCCCAATGAAATGTTTTCTTTTTATAAGAGTTGCTATTGTTATGGTGTCTCTTCACAGCAATAGAACATGGACAAAAACAACATAAGTGTGTGCTCATGTACACACACACACAGAGAAAGAGAGAGAGAAAGAGAGAGAGAGAGAGAGAGAGAGAGAGAGAGAGAGAGAGAGAGAGAAGGTCTACTATGTGTCTCAGAAATCCCTCTATTTACTCATATCCAAAAAAATTGGAAGTGGTAGATGAAGAAACACCAGCGTCAAAAGTTTATTGAAACACCCACTGTTCATTATATCAAAAAAAGGGAATGGAACAAAGTGCCCATTGATAACTGGATGAATAAGGGAAAATGTGGTGTATATCCTCAGTGGAATATTAGTTAAACAAACAAATAAGGAAAGTCTGTTATTTGAAACAACTGGGGACAGATCCCAAGTAAAATAGTTCAGGCACGGAGACAAACACCACAAACTTTTGCTCACATGTGAAGGCTTCAAACTTGATTTCAGATAAACAATATTCTATTTCAGAGAATAGAATAATGAGGTTACCAGACCCTGGAAAAGGCATAGGGGGTGGGAAGGGTATGGCTAATAGGTGCAGGGGAGCAGCTGTATAAAACAACTTTTCAAGTTCAATGGCACAGTAAAGTAAGACTGACAATAATTAACTGAATGATTCAAAACAGCTAGTAGATAGGAGTCTGAATGTCCCCGACACAAACTAACGGTGTCTGTCTATGGTGGTAGGTATGCTCGTTACCTTGATCCTACCATTCTGTGCTGTATACATGTCAAAGCATCACGCTGTGCCCCAGAAACATAATTACTAGCTGCTCTAACAAATTACAATGAAGACTGGTGGCTCAAGTCAATATGTATTTATTCTCTAACTGTCCTGGAGGCCAGCGGTCCAAAGCATACTTGCTAGGCTAAAGTCAGGAATGGGCAGGGCTGCTCCCTCCTACAAGACTTGTTTGTATATGGTGGCCTTACCCCAGTCTCTGATCCCTGGCCAGTTACCGCTCTTCTATAGTCAAATCTCCCTCCATCTGCTTCTTCTAAGGGCATTTGTGATTGCATTTAGGACCCACTCTGAAAACAGAACAATCACAAGATCCTCAGTTTAGTTTAATCTCATTGGTAGAGTTCCTTTGCCATATAATTAACAAGTCACAGGTTTGACAGATTAGAACATGGGCATTTGGGGAGGGTGTTATCCAGCCTACCCTGTGGCATCAGCAGCATTGTTGTCTGCAGAACTGAAGGCAGACACATGGGCAAACCTCGAACCAATGGGTCAGAACTGCTTCCCTCCCCTCTTTTGTTAGGAACTACAAAGTCTAAGCTTTCCAGGGAATGGGAGGTATAAAATACTAATGCAACCTTCTACCCAGAGGCAGCTCACTGAAAAGGGCTTGCCTTTGGCCAGGAAAGATGGCATGAGAACAAGCTTGGAAAAAACTCAAATATAAGTCAAATTTGATCAGGAAGAAAGAGAAAAGATTATATGATCAATACTAAGAATTAAAAAGAGAAGAGCTGCATTCAGCATCATGTGTGAGCTTTTACCCGTGCTCGGTCCTCCTCACTGAAGGGAGACCAGATACTCCCACACTCTTCGTCCACGTCTTCACACACCTATGATGTAATAGGAAAGGAAACACTTATGTCTACAGGGTGGTGCTACCCTACGCGTGGCTGTGAGTGGGGAGAGAAGCTCAGTGTGCGACATGGCCTGACCGAGAGGTGGTGTATGTGTGAGGAGGATGGAGCTGAGCTGGGGCCTGGCACGAGGGAGAACTCACCCTGATTGGTAGTTTCAGTAGAGTAGTGAAACCAAAGCCTGTATGAGGCTGTGGGAGAGGAGAGAAATCAACAGGAATGGCAGGCAGGTGGCTGGCAGGTTTTCAGAAGAATGTCATGGGGTGGGTTTTCTTTTATTTTGTGTAAGAGAAGAAGAACCTGGCCACCTCCGAAAGAAAACATCAGAAGAGCAAAATGACTGAAGCTGGAGAATGAGGTGGTATGCAGGAGTGTCAACTCACCAACCATCGTTGCCTGGGTACACTGTCCCCAGGATTAGTGTGGTGGCTGGGAACACAGTCCAGGATGGCCCCAAAACCACTCTCCCCTCTTCCTTGGTCCCTGTGTGGGGATAAATCCTGGTGTATTACTATGACATTCTCAGGGTTTGTTGAGAAAGTTTTTAGCTGGCTATCAGAGCAGGGAAGGTGAGAGCTATCCCTCTAACCACCTTGGCCTCTTAGTAGAACTAGTGATGTGTCAGCTTGTTAACGGGTAAGTGAGTTTGTTCACTGTGGCTTCAAGTTGTTAACAGTCAGTAAAGCAGTGTCCTTGAGTTCATGTATTGCAATATTCTTTTCTGTTCCCTGTAGAATACAGTAGGGTTTGCTCTCAGACACAGAAGAAATTAGTAGGCCATTTGGGGAGCAGATAAATTAGTAGGTGTTGTAGGATCTCTGGTGAAGGATGGAACCCAAGCTTAGATCCTCCAGCCCTCGGCTTCCACACCACGTGACTGCTTCCACACCATTCAGCAAGCCTGTACCAAGATCTGCTGTGTGCCCACCACTCTGCCGAGTAGTAAAGGCACGAAAGTGGGTGAAGCTAAACTCCTGGTTCTTATACGGGAGCTGTACAGAAATAAAAGCAATTATATTCATCAGAATTGCATCTTCTGCATCTCTCAGACCCTGAGCTACACAGAGGGAGGTCAGTGGGGCTCCCTGGGAACACTGCCAGACTGAAAAAAAATCGAGATTTGTCACACAAAGGAAGAGGTGAATACAGATTTGGATATCTAACTAGTCAGCACCGTAACAACCAACTCTGAAACAGTATTAGGGGCTATACAAAAGTGAAGACAAAACATTATGGAGTCAGAAAGAAAGCAGGGACGGGAATAGGCAATTGAAACAGTAAGCAGGGTGTCTTTGTGGTGGGGATGGCAGCTGGGCTAGGTGTGCCTCTTTCCTAGCAAGAAGTGAGAAGGAGCAAGAGGAAATGCCACTGGCTCCTTATACCCCCGGGCTTGGAGCAGGTACATCAGCACATTCACTCCACCTTATTGGATGATTCCGATCACATGATCAAGCTCAAACCCAACAGGTGAAGAGTATTTTCCTCCCTCCACCTTTCAGAAAAAAATTATAAAATTTAAGCTTTCCAAGGGGTAAAGGGGACTAAAACATGGGGATGTTGATGTAATTTTCCACACTAAGATGTGTCACTGAAGGTAGCTCTATCAACAATGTAAAGAGTGGGGGGGGGTAGAGAAATGAGCTGGGTTATGACACGACAGATGTCCCTCTTACTCTCTTGTACGCTGAAAATATTGTAAGTGGGGAGTGCATTAATGCAACTAACCAGGCAAACAGCACAGCTTAGCAACACATAACACCGCAGAGGGTCAGTTGTTTGCTCTCGTGATCTCATGGCTAACTGGGAGCCATAGCCCAGTACCGCTGCCCGGCATCTCGTGAGAGCGTCATGCCACCAGCCCAGGAAGAGATAAAACTTCAAAGTTCAGCTTCTACTGCACACATAGGGCTTTTGCACTTTTGCGAAGCCAAAACATTGTAAGAGGAACCACTGTAAGTGAGGGACCATCTGTGGTTCATTTAGGAGATGAGGGAAACATAGCATTAGCAATGGAGGGGAGAGCAAACAAGATGTCTTAACTACCTCTCCATGGGAAGTGCTCTGCCTCTGAGAAACGACTAGACGAAAACCCATCAGTGGGCACAGCCCGGTGATATCGATTGAGCTGCACAGAGCTCTCGATTGCTAATGTTTCTTCTCAGATGACAAGTGACACGATTGTTTATCTTCTGTCATCCCTCCTAGTCAGGATAATTCTTTGAAGAAGCGTCTGAAAGATAAAGGTAAGCCCATGGATGGCCACACAGCAAGAGTCATAATAGAGTTATTGCAAGGGTTAGAAAGCCAAGTGTAGTTTTGTTTTTCTTTTACTTCTCCCTCGATAGTTTTCCCATGTATAACCCAGTTTGTGGCACTGCTGCCACACTTATAACTGATTTATTTTCCCTCACTATTCTGTGGGTGAGTCTTATCTCGTTGGATATATTAGGTTTCTCAGATACACGGATTCCTGCTTCTCTGGCTGGATACAATCAGTTGCCCAGTGTTTACCCTGAAGATCTCTTTATCTTTGTTTAGTTACCCTGACTGTAGCACACAGTCAGATGTTGTTTACTGTTTCCCACATGTGAGGCACCTGTTGGACTCAGTAGCCATAGTGCAGTGTCTTGGGTGGATGATGATAAGCTAGTTTGTCATTCTTTCTGATGGTGACAGCCATGCTGGGTGAACCACAAACTCTGCATCTATGTCCAATGTCAAAGCACTCTTCAGATCTCTAACTCCTTTATGCTTTGTGACTGAAACACCTCTCTCTCTCTCTCTCTCTCTCTCTCTCTCTCTCTCTCTCTCTCTCTCGTTCCACACCCTGTTAGCAACTCTCCTTGGAAGGTATCCCAAAATTCTGGCATCTCCAACATCTTGGGGTCACCAATGAAATACAGGCTTCACCTTCACAGCTTCATACAAGGGCCTTTCTGGGTTTCTATGCACAGACTTAATGTTTGGAACAGTTAGTGTGAGCCATGACAGAAGCTTGTCCCTAGTCCCTGCATTATTTAATTGTCTTAGTTAGTGTTTTATTGCTGTGAAGAGACACCATGACCACAGTAACTCTTACATTGTGGAATAACCTTTTTGTACACTGTGAAGAGGTCACTCTGGTTTAATAAAAAGCTTAGTGGCTAATACCTAAGCAGGATTTCCAGGCACAGAGGATGCTGGAAAAAAGGGTAGTGTCACAGAGAGACATCAAGATGCAGAGCAAGCAGCATGGGCATTACAAAGTAAAGGTAACTGAGCCACTTAAACATAGATTAAAAGATATGGATTAATTTAAGTTGCAAGAGCTAGTTAGAAACAAGCCTAAGCTATTGGCCAAGCTTTCCTAACTAATAAGATGTCTCTGTATGGTTATTTGGCAGCTGGTAAGCAGGACAGAAAAATCTGCATATTATACTTCTATAAAGAAAAACATTTCATTGGGGCTGGCCTATAGTTCAGAGGTTTAGTCTATTATCATCATGGCAGAAAGCAGGTAGCACACAGGCAGACATGATGCTGGAGAAGTAGCTGAGAGTTCTGCATCTAAATCATCAAGCAGAAGAAAAAGCAAAAGACACTGTGCCTGACTTGAGCATTTGAAACTCCAAAATCCACCTCAAAAGACACACTTCCTCCAACAAGGCCACACCTCCTAATCCCTGTCAAGCATCATCACTCCCTAATGACTATACATTCAAATATATGAGTCTATGGGGGCTTCTTATTCAAACCGTCACAACTGCTAAATGTTTTGGGGGTCTGGCATGACAGGAATTTTGGAGATGGATTCAAATGTTAATGAGCCCACTTATCAGATTAATGAGATAGTGAAGGCACTAAAAATCGTTGAACTAGCTGTGTACATGACATAAGAAAATCATCTGCATGGCCCAGTGGTTGCTAGGGTCAAATAAGATAGTGCAAAACAGAATGTTTTTGACGCAGTAGTCTGTATCATGTCCAGATTCCCTTACCTTCCAAATAAAAGGAAGAAATGACCTCAGATTATGTTATTTTTTTGTTAGAAATGATACTTTTTATTGTATGTGGCATTCAATTCTCAGCAATGTAGTTGAATGGGGTGTTAACCAACAGCCAGTTTAGAGAGAACTCAAGATGGAACAGACAAACACTCGGAAAAAGAGGAAAGAGGCTGAGAGTCATGGGTTATGTGCTTGCTACACAAGTGTGAACATCTGCATTCAGCTCTCTACCACACACATAAAAGCTGGGGGGGGAGTACTTGCCTGTAACCCCAGGGTAAGAGAATGGGGGTGGATGGAGCAGTCTGACTGAAATGCTAAGCTCCAGGTTCAGTGAGAAACGAGGTCTCAAAATATAAAGTGGAGAAGTACCTGAAGACTGCATGCAGACATCAACCTCTGGCCTCCACACGTACCTGCATTGCCTTGCAGGTAAACATTCAATGAGAACTAAGGTCAGACTGTCAAAGGACATTTCTGGTATGAAGGGTCAGGTCTAGCGGGTTTTTGTTGTCATTGCTGTTGCTGGTTTCCCCAATGCTACCTGTCTTAGCTCAAGTTTCCTGTTGCCAAAAGGCAGGAGATAAGAATTAAGTGCTTAGAGTCTTTGAGAGGTATGATCTTCTGACACAGAGTGGAGGAAAAAGACGCAGACGCCACATGACGTGCTACCACATGACGTGCTATATTGCATGAGTACCATACACTGTGTGAGGTCACATATGAGCCATAAAGAGACATAGCTTCACTTCTCCAGTGCACTTTTTGTTCACAAAGGATATTATTTTATTTTTTCTTTTTAGTGTTGTAAGTTCCTTTACCATTAATCTCTCCCCTACTTCCATCAACCCCCAAACATGCAGGGTCCAGTCTTTCATTTCCTAAGCCTTTCCCCCAAAAGGTGCTACTTCCTACCCAGGCAGCTGGGGTAGGGGCAAGACTTCAGATTGGACCCACTTTTAGCTCTCCTTCCCCCAG